TTCGAGGCCAGCCCAAATTACATAGCAAGACCCTATCTCAAAAAAATAAATAAATAAATAAATAAACATTTGTTACTTTATCAAGTATAACAAATTAGTACTGAGCACCTTATAACTGAGTTTCCCAAAGATTGATTGTATGTCAAATATTTCAGAATTATAGTGTTTACTATGACTCATTGCTACATAGAAATAATTGCTTTCACTGTTACACTTCTTTTAACAAAAAACAAAACATTTATTTATGTATTTATTCATTTATTTGGCACATTGTCTCACTACATAGCCCAGACTCATAGTGATCCTCCTGTCTCAGTCTTCCCAACTCTGGGATTATAGGCATATGCCACCACATCTAGTTTGAGGCTGGCACAGTGCAGCCAGGCTGCCAGGACCAGCATGGCATGTGGTACAGGAATTCAAACCTCAGTCTTTGCATTTGCCAGGCAGTAGGCACTTAGCCTGCTGAACTATCTCCCAAGCCCCCACTTTTACATTTCTGTATGAGAAAATGTTACTCAATGTATTAAAGTCCCTCACTCCCACTTTTTTTTTTGTATACCTTATAGGCAGTTGAGATAGATGAACTATGGGTGATTCTGACTTAAACTTAACATTTGCAGGAAAAAAACGTCTTTACCCTTTTATATTTTAAAGAAAATTTATTGCAAATAGGCATTTGTCTATTGACAGTGCTTTTAAGCAGAGTTATACAGAAAATAGAAACTTTTAGCTAATACTTGTGTATTTGGAAAAAATTAATAAATGTATGTAATTTTACCTACAAAAACACTAGAGATTTTTTTTTTTTTTTTAATGTATTTAGGTCTACAGGGTCTTACTACGTAGGTTAGACTCATAGTGATTCTCCTGTTTTCAGCCTCCCAAGCTCTGGGATTACAGGCGTGCACCACCATACCCAGTTTTAATCGGTGTTTTAGCATGCCCCGGGGGCAGGGCTGACAGGGCACATCACCGCAGATTGAAACGCGGCCGCTGTGCTCTATCTACCTAAGCAGGTGCTTTATAAAGTCCACTGAGCTATCTGGCTATCTGGCTGGCCCTCAAAAACACTAGAGAAGTAGACAGATAACATTCTTTGTCCAGTGTTTTTCAAATTGTAATAAAATACCAGTTTAATTTTTTTATATATTGCTAATTCTTTTTGTCAAGCACAAGAAAAATATAAGGAAATTAAATAAAAGATCTAAAAATGTAAGACTATCAATAAAATTATGGCGAAAAACAAAATAAAATAACAAAAATTTTTAAAAAGTAGACAAAATAGAAAAGTTAAGGTTTCTTGAAAGCAAGCACTAATAATTATTTGTTTAATTTTGTGTAACTATTTCTGTTATTCTGAGCAATAGATCCCACAATAAAGACAACTGCCATTGTTAATCCAAAAAAAAAGTAAGACTATAGTTTTTAGTCCTTAGTTTCAGAAGATTTAAGTGCTGTCAGATTACTTTAGTACTCTCTAGATGCTTTAATTTTTGTAATTCTAGGGGACTACAGTCTGAATTGCACTGCCTTATGCTAGTGGTTCTTAAACGTGTGCTTCCCTAACGTAGAGCACCATCAATGGAAGTTTCTAAAAATAGGAACAGTTTGCTTATATCTCACCTGCTGAATTAGAAACTGTATTGTTAAGTATACTAATGTTTGAGAGCTACTACTGCATTTTTCATTCTAAAATGTTGATTATCTGGGCTTTTTAAAATGTATAAATAGTTCCATTTTTATTACATCCCTTGATCTTTCAAAGCAGCATGGATTTTATCATTTTAAAGATAAAGAATTTGAGACTTACAAGTTCAGGTATTGCCGCATATCTCATGGACAGTAAGTTGCAAGTCAAGAATTCAACAGCATGCATTCTGAATTTAGTGCTGTCATTTTTCTTTCTTGTGGGTCTTTGGCTGAACAGCAGCCTCCAGAAGTTTCTGTGAGCTGACAAAGAGCAGTTATTTCGTAGCAAGTTACCCCAATTCTCCTGAGGTCATTCTTTCTTGAACAAGATTTACTTTCATCTTGACAGTATTTATAGTGCAGTAGAAATTAGTTGCCTTCATAAAGGTCACAGTAGTTATTCTGTGTTCAAGACTCTAAGACTTTGATTGACTAAAACGAGGTATATAAACTTTTAAAAGTTCTTTTTGGTGGGGCTAAATTTCTTTGGATCTTTTTTTTTTTTTTTTTTTTTGGCAGAACCAGGGATTGAACTCAGGCCCTTGCGCTTGCCAGGGAAGCACTTATTCCACTGAACCATCTCCCCAGCCCCAATTTCTGTAGATCTTGATCATCTGGTTTTTTTTTTAAAGATATTTTATTTTATTTATTTTTTGGTGGAACCAGGGATTGAACTCAGGCCCTTGCGCTTGCCAGGGAAGCATATTCCACTGAGCCATCTCCCCAGTCCTGATCATCCGTTTTTAATAACATTCCAAAATATTTAGTAAAAGATTGAAAATGTTTGAGCATTTTGCCTAAAAATGAAAAAAAAAAATTTCTAAAGGTTACTATGAAAGTTGCTTTACCTCATTTCAATTTTAAAACAGAATAAAACCTTCAAATTGTATAGATCTACCATAATCTAACCTTCAGAAATATTCCAGCAACCTTTATTCTAGTTCCAGTTTGGGAGTATGTAGGACACAAAGGTACCTGGTTTAAGGCTGCCACTTAGCCATTAACCCTAAATTTTAGACCTTTACAGAGTTTAGGCCTGACTGCGGGAGTGTTTCCATGGAAGGCTCTTACTGACACGTAGAATCCCATCTGCAGAGACAGAAGGTGGAGGTGCAGGACCAGCTGGGTAAAACAGGCTGAAGTGGACAAAGGGAAATAAGAAGGGGTCTCAAGTGTTGGGCCCCAGTCATGGGCAAGCTTAGAGCTCACCATGCAGACCCCAGTAAATCAAAGAGGCCATAACCTCACTGCCTCTCAAGTGGAGGGGGTGGAGGAGCAAACTGGACTTATAAATGAGCCAGAGGCTCTAAAGTGGGTAGAAGAAAGATTTCTGAGAATGCTGGCAGGTGGAACCATGGGTGAGGGTCCAAGAACTTACTGAAGTAAGTAAGCTTGACTTTGTTCAGGCACCAGCCAGGTCCTAGAGAATCAATTCTTGATCCAGGATGCCCAGGATTGTACTATTGATGGAACTAAGGATGATGGCTGCCACTTGTGTCAGGTACCGGATCACAGTGCTGTCAGTTCCGCCACTGATTGATTGCCATGGGCTCCTACACAGGTACTGAGAGGTGCAGTGCCCACTAAGGTTGCCCTCCTACACTGGGACTCCCGGTGTATCTCCAGCAGTACGTATGTCCCATAGCACTATAGAGCAGTCCTCTGTAGCTGGATTCAGCCTCCAGGCTGAGGTGTTCTTTTCACCCAGTGCCCCAGTCTACAGAAGCCAGGTACAGTGCCATCTCAGGACTCTGGCTGAAGTCCTCAGATAGTGGCCAGTGGGCCTTCTTCCTACCTGCATCTATACTGAAACACATGGAAGTACCACAGGGGATCCAGGTACAGTGACTGAGCACTGGCCTGCAGCCTCGTCCACAAGAGTTCCCCAGGGGCCTGAGGAGCTCAAAGGCTAGAATGAAGGGCAAACTACTTTTGCCCAGAAGGCTGTGCAGGCTTGAGGCTGTACCCTGGAATGTCCTGTGGTTCTGGTGGCAGCCAGATCCTCTAGTGGATCCCTCAACTGCTCTGTCAGTGACAGGTGATGCTCACAAAGCTGACTGAGACAATCTCGTCATCAATGAAGGATCTGATGTTCCAGGGCTCAAGTGTTTGTTACTGCCCCCCCGGAGATACCGAGGCTTCTCTCCAACACCATGAACTTGACTCTGAGACCTCAGGACCTCCCTCGCTATGGCCCCTTAGCAGCCCCATAGCTTGAAGAGATCCATGTGGGAAAGGCTGTGGGTTGTAGATGCCCTAGCTGCTGGAAGCTGCATTGTAATTCTCATTGTGCACCTTTCAAGCCCCACAGAACTTTTTTTAAAAAAAATCAGAACTGGATAGCACTCTTAAGCAGTTCTAAACACTTTGAATGCCAGTGATTAATTATATATTTTTTATTTTATTTTATTTTTTGGCGGAACTGGGGATGGAACTCAGGCCCTTGTGCTTGCCAAATTAAAAAAAAAAGTAAAAAGTAAAAATGATACACATTTCACTAAACAAAATGATAGGAATTCAATGGTTATACATTGCATGTTGTTGTTGTCTTCAGAATATTACCAGCTATTTTTGAGGAATCTCCACACTGATTACCAGCTATAAGCATGCAAGATTTTATTTAAAAAAAAAATTAAAGGGCTGGTGAGATGGTTCAGTGGTCTAAAGCACCTACTTAGAACAAGCTTAGCAAAGCACAAGGGACCGCGGTTCAATCCCCCAGCACCACATGCCAGCCAGCCCGCGCCCTGGTGGGCTGAGCTGGTCACACACACACACTAAATAAATAAAT